AAACAACTTACCTCAATACCATTGGCAACTGACTAACTGAAGTTGGGGGCACGAAGCATGAGCACATCGCTGTCCCTTGTTTTCATCTCCTAACAGGGGGCACAGCAGTGATTGCGAAAAGTACTATCCCTGTCACCCTGGCTTTATTATACCTCAACCACCTTACGGAAAGGAAATAAGTTTGCTCTTACGATTTGAAAAAAAGGCATCTATGCACCCATCCCACTTTTTTGTTTACGTATCTTTCACAGCATTGGTTGACACCTTATTAAGAAACAAATGGAACCGACTTGTCATCTGTGGGTCAGCACACCTTGTTAGACAATACCAGCCATCATCTCAACTGCCATACATTTCTGTCATAACCTCTATCCCTCCCATTCCCTAACCCAGCTTAAAAATAACAACAACAACAACAACAACAAAACCTCTCCAAATCCATCCGAGACATGGAAGCCAGAATGATTTTATTTTTAAAGAAAAAAGTGGATGTGCCATTTTCCCACATTAAATGTCAAGATTAAATTATAACCACTTAACGCCTCTTGTAAATTTCTTCATCCTCTGGGTCCCACCTACTGTCCTTGGCCAGCTTCATCTCTAGTCACTGTTCTTCACTCCAGCCTTCACCTGGAGAGCTCATGATGCAGCTTACATGTAACTGTCTTCAATCCATCACCAGCCAGGAGTGAGCTAGGTGTCCCAGGGTACAATCGATGAGCTCCTTGTACATCTCTCCATTACTTAACACAGCATACTGTGTCTGCCTACTTACTTGTCTACCTCAACCCATTCCCCAGTATAAGGGTGAAAGCCCACAGAGGGTAGAGGAATTGTATTTTATTCCGTTTGTTATACCTCAAACAGATCTTGGCTTATAATAGGTGATTGCATTATACACATATATTTTTTCCTTCAATAAATGACTGATTTAATAACTTTCAAAACCCATACTGGACAAGAGTAGAGAATTAGACATGGATATTTTCTCTAGAGTATGCCATTTGAGTGAATAAATTAACAATATTTGTTTGAAAGTCAACAGATGAGACCTCCCATATAACTAACAGAAGAATATACTAAATTATATTATTTCACAAGTATGCTTATGAAGATGTAGAATCTTTCTATAAACAAAGCGGAATAAAAGCAAGTTATTCAAGGTAGGGGGTCTCAGGATCACTATAACTTCAAAGTAATTTTAGTAAGTTCATTTCCCATATATTGGGGACATTCTTGAAAAAATTATTTAGGAATCTAATTGTGAAATAAGCACTTTCAGAAGAAAAGTCAAAATTTTTAAAAAGTGGCAAATGCGGTTTAGAGAAAGGTCCCTGGGAAACAGCTTAGCTCAGAACCTCAAGCAACTCATGACAATTTCACTGCACTCACAGGCCTGCTCAAGGAACAACCAATCAGCTGGGCCAAGTCTGACCAAGTCATCCAGTATTAATAACCACCAAACATGCACATTCGTTACGGGTTCAGATTTGGGGCCAGATCAGTTAAGCCTATTCTGGTATTAAGGCTTAATACCTTAGGATAGGATATTAGGATATCTTTACAACTTTCTACTCAGCATTCATCTAGCCCACAAATGCCTGTCAGAGATAACTCGTGTTGGGTCTATTCCAGGTTCTGAGGAAGCAGCCGGGAACAAAACGTCCATGGTTCCTGCCATCACAGAGATTATATTTCAGTGGAGAGACAAGCAATGAGACACAGAAAGAAATACATAATATAATGCTACATACTATGATAAAATGTAAACTTAGATGGGTTGGTCAGGAAGCCCATCTCTAAGGAAGTAACACTTAGGTAGAGACTCGTAAGAAGGAAAGCAGCGGGCCATAGGAGGAAGAATATTCTCAGCAAGAGAACAGATAAGTGCAAAGTCAGGAATATGCCTGGCGTGTCCGAGGACCAGGAGAGGCTCTAGTGTGACCACAGCAGAGCTTTGAGAGCTGATAGGGAATCATGACAAAGATTAGCCAGACCTCTGACCACTGCCTATCTCAGAGAACTGTTTGGACTCAAAATTCTATGTTTTATGTAAGTGTTGGGATAACCATTATCCTGGTAATGGCCAATGGAGCACCTCTATTAAGTTTAAAGAAACAGGAAATGGTCAAACAATAACCCACTATATCTATATAGAAACATGCTCACTCTTAATGCAGTGGAAATTCCTAATTATGAGCTGGTTAAAGCGGCCTAGTTGCCAAGAAACAAAACCCCAGGGTACTGATGTAACCCGCCTGGGCTCCCTCAAGCAATAAACAGTAAACCTCTGAAATGGAACCCTATCTCCCAAGGTCTACTGAGGTGCCTTCATATGTTGAAAAGGGTGGACCTGATTCCAAATATATTTATTCTCCAGCCTGTTTTCTAACTATGTCCTGTAGCACTTCAGAAGTGCCGGGGAAAAGAAATTAAGTAAAAATGAATTTGAAGTTGTAGTTGTCCTTTCTGGGAACTTCAACTGTCCTCAAGTGACACATTTTATTCCAATTTTTAGATATGCCATCAAAGAGGCATGCTGATTACAGAAAACACTCAGTAAGGACATGATCAGAAATTCCTCCTGCTACCTTTCTCTGCATCCTCCAAGCATCTTGTGCAAACCTGCAGAGTAGACTTTTCATATGTTTATAGTGGATTGTTTCTCTCTCCACTTGGACAGGAAGCTCCTTGGGAGAGACGTATACAAAGGAATGCTGAACCTTCATCAAACAGATCCCTAGCAAAGATCTGAATATAATTCAGATAGAAGGATGTGATTCTGAATACTACGTTGAGGTGACCTGGGGCATCTTCCGAATACCTATTTGCAAATTAAAACTACTTTGCACAGAATCTATGTGCCATCCTCTAGCTCTGCCAGAGGAGGACTAAGAAATGTTTAGCTTGTGGGTGAAGCGATCCTCAAAAGATCTTCATAGAAGGTCCATTTTATGTTTTTTTGAGTGTGAAAGATTCATTAGCATCTAAGATTAAAATAACATGTACAGATTTAAAATATTAAAGGCAGAGTTATTTGATCTTTATTATTTTCGTAATAATTATAATGGTAGAACTTCAAAAACCTACCAAAATTCTATCCTAAGCTCACGGCTGAATATCACCTTTGTTGATTCTATCTTTAAAATTTCTGGAGCCCATCTCCATGAATGCAGCTGTTTTCCCACTAAAATGGAACAATTGAGGACAGGCACCCTGTCTGATTCACATCTGTATGTACCCTTGGTTCCTAGCATAGTAGATGGGACACGGGAAGTGCAAAGTAAATTGTGCCAATTAAACAAAAGAAGTGGTTCAAGTTTTCAGAAACTCTTTATATCACATAATGTCAATAACACATTTGAACTAGCCTTTTTTCTGTGTGAACAATGAAATGAAATTCAATCGATCTAATTCTCTAAAGCTAATCCAGCTGGCCCTCAAACTGTGTGCTGGGAGAAGGGAAGAGATGGGAGACCACATTTCTGAACTTTGCTACTGATGGGGACTTACAAATATGGCCACTTGTGAATGTGACTCCATGACTACATACAAGCTCACGTGCAACAATTTAGATGGACCTGAGTAAGTTTTGCCACGTGAGTTTTCTGTTTGGGAATAAAATGCCATTCATACAGGGAGAAAGAATAGAGTGGATTTCAAAATGAACACTCAAGCTGTGTCTGCACATACACAACATGAAGAACTGAGGGAATTGCCTCAATAATTCAAATGCATGAGAAAATATTTTAGGCTGATATTTGGATACTTTGGACTTTCAGTTAACCATGATGGCATCATATTGTGGATTATAGGGTTTGTAAATACAGACTTGGAATTCCAAATTGAGATCATCTCAACACTAGCAAAAATGCAGAGACACAGAAATTCTTAGTGCTAGTAGGAAGCCATCATAATCTTTGTAGACAGTAATTGGGGAGTACATAATAAAATCTTTAAATGCTCATTGTGTGTATCAGTAATCACATATATCGAAATCTTAGAAAACGAATCCAAAATGCAAATCGTTACGTATCAAAATGTTTATCACGGTATTATTTTTATATTACAACATTGGAAACATATGTTCAACAGTTACACAATTCAGCAAATTTTGATACTTTCATATGACGAGGTAATGCAATCAATAAAATGTTTACAAAAAGCTCTCTACAGAGTAATATTATGTCATAGACATTTTTCGAAGTATAAAATTCAGGATTCACAATAGCATATCCGGTATGACCTCATCTATATGAAAATGGATTGACAAAAGGCTAGGATGAAAAATACCACAGTGGTTATCTCTGGCTGCCACAATTATGGGCCATCATTCATTCCTTTTGAGACCATCACAAATGTGTTTAATTTCTATAATGTGTATTACTTTTATTTAAAAAAAAGGAATTAAAGACAGTGTTAACATTGTCAAACTGCTTAACTATGTTTTGATATAACACAATTTGCCTTTATTACAATCAGATGGAAAACAAAAATTTTTTAAGGCCAATTTACCTCGGAGAATACAGGGACATTTAAACGTCACTCTGACAAGGGGCCTGTACGGTCAATACGTCTGAAAGGTGACAATATGGCCCATCTGCAAGCACAGGGTACAGGGCAGAAAGTCGGGGAGCAGGGGGTAAAGTAAGACATTGGTGAGGCTGCTTTCTTATTAATCTGTCCATTACAGCCGAATCTCACAGTTTTGTTTCAAAATGTTGTGACTCCTGGAAACAACTGAGATTCTCACATTTCAGTAAATTTAAAGAAATACAAATATATTCTCATTATTGCTCACCCAACTGTGCATCACTGAGTAACCATATTTACAGGAAAGACTTTTATTTCTGGCTTGAACAACTCAGATAACCCAATACAGTATGTTCATACTTTGATAATTAAATGTATTTTGAAATGAAACTAAATGTCAAAAAGCAGCACTTAGAGATCTTAGCAATCATCTAATTAAAACGGCCTTTTTACAGCAATGAAAATGATCGTCAGAGGGCAGCCCCACAGCCTGCTGGTGGAGCTCCAAATTTCTAGGAAATGCTCTATTTTCTACTGCTTGTGTCAACAAGGCTTTAAAGACTGGACATTTCATACTTTTATATGATGGCCTTAGACGAGAACTTTTACAAACAAAAGGGTGCTTTTTGACATAGATGTAACTGTTCAGTCTGGTTTTGGAGGGCCTGGATTCCAAAGCTGTTACTGACATCACAGCACTTTGTGAGCCATTCTTCAGTTTTTATTCATGATTAAGGTTCTAACTTTAAGTGCTGATGTCACTGAGGAGATTATAAGTTTTGAAAAAAAATCAATTCAAACTTTGCAGAGACTTGTTTAGCGGGGAATTCCCCACAGACACAAAAGAGTGTGTATGCATGCAGTGTGTGTACCTTCAACAGACGCTACTACTGAAAACGAACATGACTCTAATATATGGCATGGTGTGTGATTTTTTAGAGGGCTAGCTTCAATAACTCTTCTTTTTAATAAACCCTTCGCAGTTCTTAAAAAACGACTTTGCAGAAACATGATACCAATAGTTAATCTAGATATTCATTTCATTCATAAAATTTTCGTGCATAAAATCATTCACCTAAAATTGCTGGTGTCACTCTCACCACAGAAACATTGATCTGTCAATCTTAAGTGTAATAACTTAAGAGCATATTTCAGACAGTTTTCCTTTCCAATATGTCCTTGAAATATTTAAGAAACCAACCAACAATTCTAACGCAAACCATTACCATTTACGGTTGTAAATTATTCAGTCACATTACAAAGACAATAACCTTTTTAGAATTTTTTTTTAAAAGAGCTATTTTAAAGATTCTGTTTTAGGACAGAGGTTGAAAATTATTTATAATAAACTAGACTGAAATTAAAATATCCCCTGGACACTACGTGGTTGATTTGATACCCAGATTTTCTTTTTAAGATACAAAATCCCATTTAAAATGTGACAGTTGTATATTATTTCACATCTTCATATGTCCTTACTTGACGTTTCTTTTTTTTTTTTACTTCTAAAATGGCAAACCCAATACCTATGATGCAAAACAGAAGTGCACCCAAATTCACTCTTCACTTCCAAATACATTTTTTGACTTGCTGATCTAAGACATAAAACTTAAGTTTATTTGAGAACTTTCACACATACGTGTAGATATGTGCGCATCGACATATGCATCTATATGAGATATGTGATTACAGTAAGTTTAAAATAGCCAGCTGAGATTTCATACTACTGTTAAGGTTTTCTTACACAGTATATATACACACACCCAATCAAGACAGTCTCACCATATTCTTTAAGCAAAGCATTTGAGAAATCACTCAAAAAGATACCTGGAGCCTTCAGGTAAGACTTATATCGCGTTGCCTTGGCATGTTATACAGACAATCAATTTAGTACCCTAATTTATTCATAATTATTATTACAATTAATAGGTGCTATGATACCCTCTAGTGGGGCAGGCAGGTCATACCTCTGATAATAACTTTCAATCGCCTCTGAAGTATGGTGTTTGGCATGTGTTCTTTTGATATGTTTCTGAAACAAAAAACAGAAAAGATCTTTACGTTGTGTCACATGTCAGGTTCAAGAGCGGAATGACGGATTTCTTCATCCCAATGTCTAGCACACAGGGCAAGCTGAGCAACAGTCTGGGGATCTGGGCGGTGGTAGGTCTTTTTGCCTCCTCTTCTATGAAGCTATGCATTTCAATCCCAGTGCCTGGCCGGGGTGTCTTCAGACCATAGCACAAGGTACAGCATATATGTAAAAGCCAACGGGGTCACAGTAATTGAATCTAAATAAGTTTGCTTAGGGTTGCAGAGGGCAAAGAAAAACTTGTTCCCTCTTTCAACCTTTGTATTAATTTTCCCTCAACTCAATTCCATCTAAGTCCTCTGCACTCTAGTTTTACAATCCAATTGCCATTTTTAACCAGGAAGAACAGTGCTTAAAAACAACTTATTTGAAAACTACAAAAAGTAATTCCATAGAGACTTGCCACTTGACTGACACCTGTCATCTCATGATAAATGACTCCATTTTCTGCCTCTCTTGCCTTCTGCCACTCCAGCAATGGTCATTTATCATCATCTCTGTCAGCAATGGAAAGCGGCACTGACAGTGCAAGTCAGCAAACATTTAGCACATGGAACCACGCAACACGGGGAAATTATTATTGTCAGAATAATAATGGTTTAGCATAATTTATTACAGGTCCACCAAATAAGCAAAGGCTAGATGTTATTAGACAGATGGATGGGTAGGCTTGGCAGGCCTCCACTGAGACGCAGGCGGTGCTCGATGTGGAAAGGAGAGCATCCTCCAACCCAATCAGAGAGCTGGCAGTTCAATTACAAAGAAATAAAGGGACATTCATCATTCAATTAGGCACCTGTCAACCCTCACAAAGGAGAAAACTTCTAACCTGGTACTCCTGGGAGAAGATGCTCAGCAGAGTGGCCTGCGATTGACTGGAACAAATAAAAGAAGGACAAAGTTAATTACTGGAGTGCACGGCAAAGAAACAAAAGAGAAAGGAGCTTCAAAGGTAGGCCTGCTGCCCTGTAATCTAACAGAACATGAAAACAAGTGTGGAAAAGTTGTTCCAGATGAACACCTCAAACAAAGGCTTCCTGCTGCTAGGTCAAGGAGAGAAAAAGGGAAAGGGAAGAGTATGGATGGCCTCACAGCAAACGATCATACAATGTAGATGTTTTTTAACTTTAGGGTGATTAGGAATCCTGTCTGTAGCACGTAGCTACGTTAAAGGAGACTAACAGGAGGCAAGGTTTATTTCCGTCAGTAAATGGGAAGAGTGAAATCCCACAAACAGTGCAGAATGCGAAATTCACGCGCTGGCAACATTCTCAATTTATTTTGTTAGCGGACACGTATCCTCTTCCGCAGCGATCTTGGCGTCAGGGGAACAAACTTGGGTCTTCACCGGAAGTCGCGCTGAGACACCACTGGAACATTCCTACAGACACTAGCAGGCTTTGAAAATAAGTTTGCAAGAGGAAGGCCAAGGTCCTTGGAGTCCGTCTTTGCCAAAGACTGCCATGAGCCTTATTCGTCCAAGACTCCACACAATGACAAACACCTGGCATTGAAGAAGCCTGGAAAACATCCTTCTCAAGTGGGAATTTTCCTCTCGCAATTGTTAACATTTAGAAATGGAATAGAATTTTTTTTTTCTCTAAAAAGCAATCAATATCCTACTGCTACTCTTTTTGATTGCCCTCTGTAGATACATCTACCTTATCATATCGTGAGAACAATTAATTATTTCTGATATATTTTCCTACTAAACGCTATCTGAACAAATTACGGTGTTAGTAATTCGACTTTTATAGTACACCAAAGCACTATGAATAATTAAAAATTTTCTATGCATGAATGAAATCTCTTAAGCTCATCACAGGTAATTTGGAGAGTGTGAAATAAAAACAATGACACTATATTTCTTTACTTACTGCCAAAGTGTTGTCGTCTTTTGCATACCATCATAGATTTGGCTTCTAACTCCTTTCCATTCTTATCAGATTACAAAAAAAAATAGGTTAAAAAAAGACTGTAAATGTTCATCAAGGAAAACTGATGGTTACTAAAGAACTGTTTCAATAACTCAAAAGCCCTGAGAAATGATTAAATAAAATTATAAACTCATTACAATCCATTTTTTTTCAATTTCCCTTTAAAACTGGAAACCATTCTTTAAAGAGCCAATTTTAACATCTTCCTATTATTCCTGGCTTGCCTGAACTCTATAGGAAATCAAATGTCCCAGGTAGCGTTTCTGACAACCAACTTCTGAGGGGAAGAAAAAAAAAAAAAAAAAAGGCAAAATTAAGCCCAAATCTCTATAAGCTACTGAGTAAGTCAATATGTTAGGTATTTGTGGGCAATAAGTACACACCTCCTCATTGTACTGCAAAATATATTTAGGTTAGCCACTTAATGATAGACAAAATATTAATCTCTAAGTGTCAGAAAATACAATGGAAATAAATGTGCTTGTATGGGCAAGTTGGGGACCAATGACCAATGATTAATGAGGAGGAAACAAAGCTGTGAATAAAACAGAAGTGTAAGTGTAGACACCCAAAATGGGAAGGGTAAGAGACAGATGGAGAGATAAGTCCAGGAATAAAGAGTTCAGCATGATAAGATGGTCAGGAGTTGAGGGTACTGTAAAAATGGAAGATGAGATAATGTCTTTAGGAGCCAGGAAACTATCTTTAAAACTGCTTAGAATTCGATTCAACTGAAACTGTGGACAGAGCCTGTGGAGTAACTCATTTTCTCAATGGCCAATGGGGTTAGAGAGGAGACTCCGGAAGGAGGTAAAAACTGGCCTAGACACAGAGAGAGCAAATGATCTACTTAACATAGTAACAAAGACAGGAAGACCGGGGTCCAAAATGCTTTGGGTTTGGGTGATGAGACAAAGCTGCTTAGGACTGAATGTCACTTGATAGGTTTTTGCCAATCAAACTATATGTTCCTCCGTGTGCTAAGCTTATAGAAGAGTGTTCTGAACATGCCTCACACCTTAAAGAGCAGGAAAGTAGTACTGCAACTGAGACACTGACTCCAGCGCGTATCACTTGTTCCTTACCTCCAGAGTGTCAATTCCGATATACGAAACGGAAAGAGGCAAGTGGAGAGAGCCATCACAAGGTTCGAGGGTACAGCCACGAAGGACTGCCCTTCTCCCACTGCAGTCTCCCAGTGTTTTGTTTGATTGGCTAAGAGTGCACGAGTTTGGGCATAAATTCAACAATCACTAGGTTCACAAGGAAAGTGGTTTTTAACCAAAGAAGAGGGGAGAAAAATACAATACATAACTAAAAAGTCTATCTTGAACACCACAGTCAATCAGTCAGCAGTATTCACTGAGCATCTATAATGGCCCAAGGTCGACTTAGAGACTTTCAAAATGTACACGCAAAAAAAAAAAAAAAAAAAAAAGGCAAAAATTAGAACACTGTCAAGTACCGACATATTTTTTAGGGATCTAGTGAAGCAAATCACACTCTGAATCTCACATATTTCAAGACTACATTGGTTTTGGAGCCTATACGCGTCACTTAGCGTATACGTGTTTTAAATTTACATGTTCAAAAATACAAGCACTTATTTTGTACAAATGCCCAAGATATATTATTTAAAACCTCTTCAAAACTCGGTTTTGTCTTTTTTCGCATGCAACCCTCCCATATTAAGCACCTCACCCTGCAGCTGTCCGAGAAAAGAAGAGCAAGCCGGTGGACCCCTAGAATGGCTATGGAAAACACAGCCCGAATCATGTGTGAGGGTCTACACGGAGCAGTAGCAGTGATGTGGCAGTGGCGGGGAAACAAGGACAAGGTCAGAGCCGAAACAATGAGGATGACAGCAGAGGGGATGGAAGAAACCCAGGTCCTTGAGAACACTGTTGAGCTGCTCAAGCAACCATGATTTGAACCGAGCAAACTCCATACTTCTTCTGAGTAATACTAGGTGCTTTTTTTTTTTTTCAACCTTCAAAATGAAGAAACAAAGCCACCAGGTCTCGGTGTACCCTGGCAGTAGGAGCCATGACAGAGGGAGAATGAGAAAGGGTACTCCATCATGATGGCACGTGTACGGGCTGCAATACGTGTAAGGGTTGTCTATATTTAGACTTTCTACTTCCCTCTTAGCTGGCAGGTACTGTATTTGGCTTTCTTAACATTATTCATCTACTCGTCACTGTGTCACCAAGTTGATGTGCCCAGAGATCATAAATTGGGGGCGGGGGGAGGTGTATATGATTTTTCCCTATAGATTTTAAATACCAGTGGGTTATTACTTACCTTCATTTCATATTGCATTCAGGACTCTTCAAATGCCAGGTACATGCAAAGGCAGTATACCAGCACCCTGTTCAAAATTTCACTTAACATGTCCCCAAATCCTTCCAGCTACGATGCTCAGTAACCTGAAGGGTATTCGAGAAAATGAACACTGGAGGGTTTCATGAGTGCTGCAGAGACGAAGAGCAGAGCTGAGCACAGACTTAGTGGCAATGCAACTTTCATACGAGGAGGAAGTCCTCATGTTCCCAGTTGGAGGCTTAAAAAAATAGAATCTTAAGGAAGAAGATGCCATACATTTTATGTTCCTCCTCTTCTCAAATAGCCAACCTCCAAAAAAAGACCATAAAAAAGTAAGTACCATTACTTTTCAAGCTCCTTTTGCTACAGAATCTGGGAAGCTTAAATGTCTATACCCCACTGAGCTCAAAATTCTCTGACCAAAATAAATATTATTTCTGGGACTCAGAAAGCAGTAAACCAATTAAAGGGAGATGAAGCAGGATACTCCTACAAAGCAACAGACTGGGAGACCTCCCAGCTATAAGCTGCAGCCTCTCAAGTCTGTGAAAGAACACAATGGAACACTCTACGTGGTTAATGATTCAGAGTACTGGTCAGGGAAGGTCTTCTATGAAAGCAATGCATCCACCCTCCCTCACTCCCACCTTCCTACACACCTACACACAAATCTGAAATGGAGAGCCTTTTTACCGCCCCCCCCCATAATATCAAAATGAAATTCAATAATAGCAAGACTTGGTAGAACAATACAACTTTTTTTCCCCTTTCTTTTTAGGAACTTATAATGCAAAACAGAATCTGGAGGGAGATTACTGGTACTCTGATACCGGTAGTTGGGGGCGAGGGGGGCAGGAGGAGAAAGATAACTAAATTCAAGAAATAGAGAAATATTTATGCATTACATGTAACCTCCCATTTCTTCTCTTCAATTTCAACTTCATATCAAGGTTACAGACTATATCTTATGCTCCATCATGATAAATATTCCCACAAGTAACTATATAGATGGCAGCATTAAGCTTAGCAAAAATCAATTATCAAAAAGAAAATGTTTAAAGGCCTCAGTTGTTATATATATGAAACAAAAGCGGTTACTATCCTAGGCTCTTGACTAATCTTCCTGGTAAACTGAAGTCACATAGAAAATAGATCTACAACAAGAGCTAAAATTCATATGGACCTTTACTTTGCACCAGACACTCTACTGGGCACTCTGTTTTCCTCTCACACTAACCCTCTGAGGTCGGTACTATTATTGTCCTTATTTTAAAGATGTGGAAATGAGGGGAAAGACCTTAGGTAACACACACAACCGAAGGGCTGGACACATAGGCAGCAGAGCCGGGAATCCAAAGCCAGCCCCCATTCCCAACCCCGAACTCTTCATCTCAGTGCGAAACTGCCTTGCCAACACTTCCCAGAAATCAGCTCTGCGTGCCAGGTGCACTAGTACCCCGGCTGGAGCACTTCTATGATATCATGTTACGTTCTAGACAAGCCTGCAAGGTAGGCGTTGTTGCTTTTGTAACAGAAAACTGAAGACATGGGATGTCAAGCCTTCTGAACCAATTCCGTGGCCTCAGACAATATTCCCTTTAAAAAAAAAAAAA